TTTATTTTAGACCTTGAGTTACATATTTATAGGGAGAAAAAATCTTAAATTCTAAAGTATTGGATTACAAAAATCTGTTATGCAGCTTGGATTTTTAAATACTGACTCAGAAAAAGCTGCAATAATGATGTCAAGATTGCCTTTTAGGACATCTCCAGTCTATCCTCAAGATCAGATTCACTGACGTACAAACCCAGCAGTTTTTCATTCACATACTGTTAACACTTTGTTAAGCAGCTTAGACACCACATCTGGACAGAGGTCCTCAGGATGCTGGCAGTCCTTTATGAAAACAACGTGTAGACTAACTGAGAAGCTCCTTAGGTACACATAAGAGAAACACATCCTGCAAAAGACTCCTACAACCAAACTTCAAGAGTAAAACAGAAAATGGTTCCAGACTAATACTGCACTGTAACTGTTGAGACAAAACAGACTGGTACTTGACCCACTGGGAGCTCAAACAGACAAATGTTATTCCTTGGTAATTCAAGTCCAGTTATGTATAGTCCCATCTTTTCCTTCTGTATGAGGGGACATGAGGAGTCTCCTGAGACAACAGCTGTACACCCTCATCTATTTGGAAAAAGCAAGTCTTAGTTGGGCAACTAACAGCTCCTGAAGGCTTTATCTTTCTTAATAGCTGACACCCCTCCAAAAGTTCCTGGGTGGCTCCCATGCCGTTTCCCCATATTGCCACCTCAGGAGTCATTCAGCCAGCCAAAGCTTGCCTCCTAATGAGGTACCACAAAGCTCTTTCTAGTCCACTGATTATTGGGTCTGTCAGACCCATCCAAGTATCCTGAATCTGACAGGTTTTGAAATCTGATCATCAACATTGTGCTTTTATGTGTGTCTTAATGTGACACCTGCTGGATTCAAGAGATTAGATGAGAATGTCAATTTTCAGTAACAATGAATAAAAACAAACAAGTATGTTTTAGCTCCTCTTGTTGACAAAGCTTAAAAATGTGATTCAAATGCTCCCTGGCAGTCCAGTAAATGGAGGGAAATAAAAATCATTTGACGTCTATTTGTTACTTTATTTAGATGTCAGGGCTATTTACTTAATTATTTATCTATCGATTTATTTATTTGCAGGTTTGTGCAGCCGCACTCATGACTTTTGAATGCTTCAATTTGGTAGCAACGAAAATCTCATTCCCCAGGTTCCTTGTGAAGATCAACCCCTCCCTCCACTTTCTTTGCTTCCTGAACAGCAAGGTACAAGTTCTGACTCTATCGTTATGTCACAGAAGTCAGTATACTTTATTTTGCAGGTTCTCTGCAACTCTTGTTTTATGACTGCCTTCAGTCAGTCCCGTATTTTGGATGTGGAAAACATCAATGATCAGTCTGGAACCCTGGTTCCAGAAGAACCTGCTCCTCTTCCTGCCCTCCTACACTCAAGTATTATAGTGGTGGCTTGCATCTTCAATTTGATACCGCATAGTGCAAACTGATAACTAATCTTGGGGAAAAAGAATAAAGATCAAGACCAAATTATCATGCCTCCATTATGTGTTAGTTAAGAGTAGGGTATGAGGCATAGCCACAATCATACATCGCAAAATTAAATCTTTTAATCTGCAAACTCCACATTTCATCCACTCTGTTCACACCACAGCCATTAAGTTCTTACATAAAACACAGAACAAAGTTTAGACTTATAATAGAAAAGACAGAAAACAGCAAATTTTATAATATACCACAAGCAAGACTCAAGGAGTCTGAAGACTTATTTTATCACCACATTTAACCTTGAAAACAGTAACTGTTATTTTTTAATGTTTCATTTAAAGAAAAACTAACAAATATATGCTTCAGAGATGATAAAATTATTCATTTCTCGATGTTTTACTTTTCTGGTGTAGGGCATTTGTAAGATTATGGATGATAACTATTAAAAATATATAAAATCAAATCTCAGTTACATTTAATTCTACATTAGAAATAACTGAGAGGTTTCTGCAATTGCTCTGTATGACAATATCCAATATTTTAGGAGTATGAGAAATAACTAAGTATAAAGTTTCCGAATAATTGATATAATTATTCATCTATGAACTTCGTAAAAACATCAGCAATGGAATATGTAGGAAAAATGTGCTCCTCTGCAGAGACAGAGAAAGACAGCAAATAATTGCCTTTATGAAACAAAATTGTCCATATCAAGAGGCAGTTCTTTAAGCCAAGGTAGCAATCTGAGTTAATGGTCTTCAAAACATTTTTAAACTTAAAGCAATTATGAGCTGGTGAAAAAAGAAAAGCAAAAAAAAAAGCTGTCTGAATTTACAAATCTTTACATATTGTGAGGGCCTCCTCTGGCTTGAACTTCATTCAGCACCCATTGCTGCTGCAGATACAGCATTGATTTTGCAGGCAATGCACAGCTAGGGCCAAGGCAGGTACCCCGAGGATCCCACTGAAAGAATGTGCGAAATAGAGACAAATACGCATAAGCCTGCCTATTTTTTTGCTGCCATCATCCAAAAAGGAGGGCTAAAAAAAGGCTGCAGTTCCACAGCAGGGAGGTCATCAGGAGGTAGCAACAGCTAGAAGTGAGAGGAGATTTCAAGAAAATAACAGTCCCCCAGAGATCTAAATATCCCTTAACTGCTCTGTGTATCTGGCTTAATCGTATGGTTTAAGTGTGTTTTCTAACATTTTAATGCTGCTATGCTCGCTTTTCACCAATGACCAATAAGCTGAAATGCCAGCATTGGCTTTTGTATCTTTACTGACCATGTTACACTCATGGATATTGTTTCCTCATCTAGTTAGGACTGTCTCTCACTCTGGGTGCCATCCCTCAGCTCCCTGAACACCTCCATCAGAGGCTAGGGAACAACTGAACAAGCTACCTCCTGCCATACTTTAAGCTCTGCCTCCTCCAGTGACACACAGTAGCTGACCGTGTGTGGATTCACAGCGTGCTGAAAGGAAATGGGTTATTTTAAGCCATTTTCAGCCAGTCTGGCTAATCTTAACTCTGCACTGCAAGGAACACGTACACAGTCACAGGGTAAGTTCCACTTGACTGAGGAGCACTAGATGAGGGTGGAACACTTAATCATCGTTATTTGAGGTCCTCTGCCATCACCCGGGATATCTAAATCACCTCCAAAATGAAACATGGAAGGGTGCTTTTGTTTTCAAAAATGTTAACATTCTCTATCAGATGACAACCACATTACCTTACCCTACTTTTTTTTTTAACTCTCATACTCTTAAACTGAACACGAGAGAAAAATATCATAGCAACCTATTTCTTTTTGTCTTATTCTTCTGTGTTGCCCATGAAATAGTGATCTGAAGTTTCTTTTCTTTTTTCCTCATATATTGCTAGCAGTGAATTTTGGAACAAACTCTGTTCTGCTTTGTTATTTCAGACCAACACGTAATTTAGAATTTAAAGTGTCCATAATAGGACTAGGGAGCTTGTAGGTTTGTTGGAAAGAGGGATGTTTCTTAGCCACTTGAGAGCATACTGTCTCTCCAGTCTAATTCTACAACAGTTTCATAAAAAAAGAAGGGGTATGAATGTACTAGAACCTGATTTAAGCAAAGCCCTTAAGCGCATTAAGCATTTAAAACATTGAGACCAAATGTGCTTAAGTGCTTTGCTGTATTAAAGTCATAACGATTATTACAGTAATGAGTGTATGCTCAGTTATATCTTGTGAGTGCATGCATTTAGTGGCTATTGAATAAATAAACTGATTAATAACATTTGCAGTGAGAAAAGGAAATATAATTAGCTTTAATATAGTGAAAATACATTTTACTGTAAAAAAACATCCCTCCCCATGTAACAAAGTTGGTATAACCATTGGTATGGGTATGTTTTTTCTATGCATATCCCTGTATATATTTAATAATAATTGACAGAAAATCTGACCTGTGAGAGGATTTGGAAATTCTCTGAGTGTTTTTTTTCTGGCAGTTTGTTGGAACAGCATTGCTTTGAGGAAATACCTCAAACAGAAAACGGGTTTTCAAAAGCAATGTCTGGTTTTTGCCTCCTTGTCTCAGCATCCAGGCTTCACAGGTCTTGGACTACCCCTCTATTTTGACTGTTGTTGTGACCCCCAGTTCTTTCAGACTCTTTTGCTCCAGACTGGAACCCAGGATCATTGAGATCCTGAGTCCCATGTATATATCACAGACACAGAGCTGGAAAATCTGTAAGTTTCAGGTGGCACTTGATTCCTCATGGCTTGAAAACAATTTTTTCCATGCTGGGAGCTTCCCTCTCCATCAGCTTCCAAGACTGTCTTTAACCCCTGAAACTGCCTGTTGTTATTACAAATTTGTAGAGGGAGGGAAAGGAAATGCCTTTTAATTTTAAGTTTAAGATGTTCTAATTTTAATTCCTCTTTCAAGTATTTCTCCCAAGTTTCTCATATAACTGAATTAGTATTTTAACAGTAACAGCACAGGAGCATGAATCAGCTTTTATTTTTGTCTTTTTTTTTTTTTTCTGAGCATTCATAGATTAGGTAAATACTGTAAATTCTTTTACTAATTTAATAAACTGTTTTCCTTATTTAGTCAGTGATACACAAGACTGAAGCACATCTGAGTTTGTTCTCACTAGCATACTCTCATTTATGTATTGTTTTCTTAAATTATGACTCTTCAGTGGCAAGTTAGGAGTCAAGAACTTAAAATTCATTTACAAGCAGGCTATTTAAAATACGAATTTTGAAATTGCCATTTAATAGTTAGCTAATAGTATTTCCTTCCTTCCTTAGACCTAATCCCTAATAAATTAAACTGGCCAATATATAAAATATTGTGGCAATTCTGACTAGTGTATTACACAAAAATTTGCAAGCATATATATGTTTGAGGTGTTGCATTAAGAAATCGTAAGATTCTCAATAGGGTTTATGGACAATATCAATTTACTTGGTGTATGTCAGTGTGCTTTATAAAATAGAAAAAGACTACAATATTGTCGGAAATATGTTGAAATCTCAGTTTTGTACAATACATCATGCTTAGAAACTAGATTTATTTGCAAATGTATTGGTCCAATTAATCTCAAGTAGGAAAAAATCACAATCAAGAAACAGCAATTGCAAAAAAGACACAGTTATGTTACCATCTTGATGATTTTCCATAGTATATTTTCACACAAGTATGATTTTAGATTTAAATAAGATAATCATAATGCACAGTTACCTATAAACTAAATATACAATGTTTTCTTCTGCTGCATCAGTAATATGAACTTCTCTTGAGTATGTATGGTCTTCTAGCTTTGTTCACATGTAGCTGCCGTTTCAGAATATAGGGATTTTTTCTTTTCATTATTTCCTTGTCTTGGCTTGAGTTCTCTAAATCAAAAGCATCTTGCTGAAGTAACTGTAGGATGCAAGAAGAGACACAATGTTATCAGCTTTTTTTGGTAATGAAGATTATCAATTCCTATAAAGTTTTATAAAACTTTATTTTAACATCTGCCACCAAGAAAAATGTTTACCGTAATATTTGCAGGTTTAAAAAAAAAAAAAGGAAGAAAAAAAAAAAAGCCCAAAACTCAAGACACAAAACTAAGATCAGGCTAAAGATGAGCTGAATCCTACAGAGGTGATACTTAAATTCCACTGAAACAAATGAGATCGTTGGTTTTGACTAGAGAGAAAAGCTGGTATGTCCTCCTTGGACTAAAACGCAAACTGACTGAAAACTTCCTAATGATTGTCACTCTGTAATCACTCATTTAGGCTAAACACCTCCTAAAACACCCACTGCTTGCTGGTTTCAGCTTTTGAGCAATATTTTTATCTGCCACTTCCTACAGCTAAAAAATCAAAATGTGTAATAAACAAATAAGAAATGAAATAAAGCACAAGAAAGCCAAAATTTTGTCAATCAAAATTTCTTATATAACTGTGTTTTGAGTTTTACTTGGAGTTTTTGAAGTGTTTTGTTCAGATTTGTTCTTGCTTTATCTGTTAAGATTTCATCCATTCTCTCACCATGTTCTTCCATGGTCAAGTACAGTCCTACTGTCTGTCTGAAAGATATTAAACTGAAAACGTTTTTATACTCACCTCAGTATTTCCCTAAGCAATCAAACTCTGTTACTCACTTAATTACTTAATAAATGAGTGCTCATCTAAATTCTATTGAAATGAATGGAAAGACTCTCATGGTTTCAACAGACTTTGGAGTCAATCCTGGATGAATAAGATCACAAGAACTTCTTTCATTACATAAATTGTTTATTTCAAGCCTTCTTCAATCCTTCCCCCTCTGGCTCTGTCCCTTCTTCTTTTATTGTGTCTTATAAACCTCTGCACTGCATAAGCATGTTCCTAAGCTGGGAGAATAATATTTTTTTTCAATTTCACATGCAGTACTGTTAGAAGTGACGATTCCCAACCACCGCAAGAGGTGATGCAACTGCAAAACAAGGAACTGTGATTAAGCCATATGGGCTATTGCATATAGTCAGTTCAATGGTAGCTCCTTTTCAGCAATAAATGTACTGATGAAGAGAGTCCTCAGAAAACTCTGGTTCTCAAGGATGTTGCAGTCTTTTGTATGGACCATCCCAGCTAATATGCAGGATTGAGAATAAGCCTGCAAATACAGAGCTGTGAGTCAGCAAACAAAAGAGGATCAAGATTCAGGCAGACTGTCCATGAACCTGCAATAGCTGAAGAAAATGGGTTTACTGGAAAGTGGCTAGTGACACTGAGATATCTTTTTTCGCTGTGCAAAGCAGCTTTTAGTGTAATATATAACAACGCAAGTGGATTGTGCCCAGTGTGCCTCTGTGTGATCATTGCACTAAGATAAATATCACAAATGGACTATAAACAATCACTATTTAAGAGCAGCAATCCTCATATAATCAGTGTCAACTTCCAGGGTCCTCTTTAGGTGTGGGGAAGCGAAAAGCAGGAGTTCCCTTGCTACCAGTTTCCTAGCAATGATAAGAAGCCCAGAGAACCTGGTAAAATTACTCGTACACATGGGCATGTGTCCATGCATTTTGAATCCTGTTTGCCTTAGGGCCTTAAAAGGGTTTTCAGAAACCTGAATACTGCCTACATTTAGTTATGCCTCAATAAATCTGCAGTAACTTCACGTCTGTTAAGCAGGTATTAATTTTGTGTTCTGGCATAGAGCTCACTTTCATGTGTTTGTTTGGTTCCTTGGAATGGCTACAAAGAGTGGAGAAAGTATGTAGTTAAGAATAGTTCTTATTTATCCATGGGTCTTTATAAAAAACAGACACTCAGCTTGTCAGAAACTACATTAATTCACAACTCTTTCAATAAGAGGCATATTAGAGGTGTTAGAGAATATAAAAAAGGGAAGGAAAGCTTAGACAATGTGACAGGTCACATGGATATGGATTTTAAAACATCACTACAAACAGAGCCTGAGAGTTTAATAGCAGCTGAAACATGCATTTGTGACAGACTTTTACCTCCCAATGCTGAAAGGCTCTGCTGTGGCAAACTTTTTGGAGTTGATATACTGTCAGCATTGCTTCCAAGCTGAAGCCATCCAGAGCAGCAGGAAACTGTCTTCCTGAAACAAGATCCTCTTCATCTACCTCTACTGTTTCCCCCACTTGGTTGTTTATGTTGTTGACAAGATTGCAGACATTTAGCAGGGTCATTTTCCAGTAAGGAAGTTTTGCTCTGTTAATCTGAAAATACAAATACCCACTATTTAACGTGTTGCAATTTTTGTTTTGTTTTTTAGTAATAATGTGTGACATTCAAACATTTTGGTAGGAACAAGTTTGTGTGTTTGAAGTACTTTTCATCTGCTCAACTTTTAGACAATAATTAGAGAGTGCTGAAATTAGGACAACTCATTTATTAAACACACCAAGTCTGCTTCCCCACAGCCTTACCCCCCAGGTAGATATACACGGTGAAAAACTAAACTGCTACCAAACCAGAATGGTAGCATTTCATAGTCATTCTGCACAGGGGCAAACAAAAACACAGATGGAAATTAATATAAATTCACGGGTGTAAATCAGGACAATGAGTCAAACCCACTGGATAAATTCCCAGTACTGGAATCCAAGGTGGATGCCTGTGGTTAACTAGATGCTCCTCCCCAGTTCAGAACAAATACCAGTCATTTCAAAATTCCCTGAGAAAAGGAACAGAGTCCCTGCTTCAGGGCAAGCTGTCTGATGAGGCTGGGTCTGAAGTTATGGAATCTGTAAGCCCCAGGAGTTTTGGATGCTGGAGAGTCCTGAGCCTGGGATATGTGAATTGAAGGTCTACAGGCTTAGATGAAGATGGAGCAAAGATGAAACAGACCTGTGCAAACAATGTATTCTTGATTTGGTAACTGCACTGAAAAATTCAGACCAACTGTATTTAGGTGGTCCGTAATGGATCTGGTCAGAGATGTTACAGAAAGACAGAAACAGAAATTTCACCATGGTTTGTCTCGAATTTTGCTTGCTCCAGTATCTTGCATTATTTAGGAGTTATTTAACTTTTAAATCCTCTTAAAAAATGTTGAGAAAAATAATTTTTACTTTTCTACTAGTACTGTTGTTTCCAAGCAGTTGTGGCAGTAGTCTTCTTTAGTTTTTATTACAAATAGAAAAAATTAAGTGAAAAACCTAATTCCTACCTCATTCACTGCTTTTCATGTCTTTGCCGCTTTCTTGGTTCTCCCAGTATTAATTTCTTTCAAATTGTTTTCATTTTAGTGGTGAGTATAGAAATTAGTTTCCTTAAACTAGAACTGGTGACATAGCGATCTCCAATCAAAAGCCAAATAGCAAATTCCTATTTATTACTGGCAAGGGCTTCCTTGCTGTGCACATTAGGATTACACTTTACCTATGAACTGAAGTGTAGTTGCTTCTTTTCCTGGATGTACAAAGTTAAATATAGGTATTACATTTACACAGACATTGCCTTTTACATACTGACAGCATTAATTAAGAGTGTGGATGCAGTGCTTACTTAGCTGAACATTAGGTAATCACATAATCTGTTGTTTCTTTAAAGCACCTTCCTAACAAAGGGGCATTGTATGCAAGATTTATGCATATTCACCATACTTTACTATTTTTTGAGGGAAAAGAAGGAAAATGGAGAGGAGTGAGGAAGAAACAAGAAAAGCTGGCATCACTATTAGCATTAGTTACAAAAAATTCCCTTTTGGCCATAATCATTATTCCAATATACATCTGATATATGCATGCCTTTCAAAATGAGAATAATTTAGCCCTTTAATAAAACCACTATGTGTTCTCAGATTACTGACAGGGCTCAGGAAAAAAAAAAAGTATTTTGTTTTGAGGCTAAGAAGAAAACAAATCTCAAATCTTATTCAGAAGCTTGAAATTGCTTCTGAATTGTTTACTTTGAGCTCATCTGTTGTCCCATCTAGGTGCCCTAATTAGTCTGTCGAATTATTTGAAAAGATGTGACAGGTTCAAAACAGAAATTAACCTCTTTGCAGAATGTCTAATGTAATTAACAGAAGTAAACCAGCAAAAAGAGCAAGCGTCCACTGCAACTTCAAAATCTTCTTTGGTCTGTTTTAAAATATTTGTGAAATATAAAAATATGGATCTTCCCATGACAAATGAGGAGGCTTTTCCAGTGCACTTCTCTCTCCTGGGTATATGAAAGAAATGTGAGCTAGCACTACAATAGCTAAATTGCAATGAAGAATAAAATCTAGGGGCAGTGCTATGTGAGCAAGTCAGAGTTCTGAGTTAAAAAAAAACCCAAAATATTCCAATGGATGGAAACAGAAAAGAAGAGGAAAGGATAGGGAAATTTGTTATGCCTTCTTGCATAATTTATAGAATCTTTTTGATCTAAAGTTACTACTTTATGTTAGCCTGATGCATGTCTATGTTTAAAGGAACTTTCCTCTGTATATTAGTAAAAAACTTAAATAGCAGACTTCATTAGGTGAAATTGGTCTTAGCTGCTACTTATGAGGTTAGGGGAAAAAAATTTTGCAGTGCTGCCTGCAAGCATACTTCGTTTGTTAAGGGAGTCTAATTCCCCTTAATACCACACATCTATTACCTCAAAGTATTTTTACTTGGGTACACCTGCTTCTGACTTACACTGCTGCCAGTTCACAGAATGAGACAATAAAGCATTAAGAACTTCAGTCAAGAGTGCAATTTTTTTTTTAACTGAACATGGAGCTCTCCAGGTCACGTCCAGTCACTGAACAGAGCAGTCATGTTACTTTTCTACTCTGCTTCACTATTACAGCAAACATTACAATCAAACAACTTTGTTTTACAGGTTATGGGAAATCTCTGAGGCGATTATCCTAACGGAATATGTGAAAATACAGTTTAAGATGACCGTAACCCAAATGTTCAGGTACATTTCCAATGTGTGATATATTTTCCACACAGGTCTAAGCAATACCAACTACAGTTGCTCAAGACATATTTTAGAAAACACCTACACAAGAGATCAAGGAACCCATATCTGCCAAGATGGAACTAATTTTTTTAAGATTAACTTGAAAAATATCTGGGAGTGACCTGAAGGAACAGAAGAGACTGCAGTATGAATCAGAATTTAAAAGTTATTAATGCTGAGGTGAGTATGAATTTCTATTGCTGAACACGCTTCTGAGATAAGACTCGGATATATGGTTTCCCACACCTCATATATCTTGAAAGAGAATTTTAAATCATCATAGAAACTGAAATGAGCTTGAGAATGTTTCCCTCTTTGACAACTGGCTTGTCCTATGAAAGATTAAAGAGAATCCCAAGTTATAACTTATCTGGTATCTTTTTCTTTCCATTTCTGGTTGAATGATACCCCTGATAGTTTGTTGAAGATACTTCTTATGTCATAATCCATACCTCCCAAATGCTATTTTTTTTTTAGAAAAAGAAAGTTCAGTTCTCTTTTATATTCTTGTCTTTATCTAGTGAAAGCAGATGAAAAACAAATTCATAACCAAGTAAAACCCAAGGTAATGTAGGACCTCTATGGTTTCATTTCGGAATAGTAGTTGAATTTTGTTCAGAATGTAACCATAGTAATAATAAAAATACTGTCTTTAAGCAGATATGGTATTGAGTTGTTACAGTGGAAGTTTCTCCATGGTGTATACTAATGCCTGTAAACGTAATGAATTTTTATGTGATGACTGAGTGAGGAAGTCAGTAACTCCTGAGCTGTAAACTCATCTGCCGCAGACAAGGAAACTAAACTGTCCAGGCACATACAGTCAGCAATAGGCATCCTAGAACACTAAGAAGTTCAGAGAGTCCAAGACTTCGGAAAATTAATGTGAGTGCGGATCCCAAAGGTGGAGTATATTCTAGTGATGATGCATTCTTCAAGGAAATACTTTTTTTTTTCTTTTTTTTTTTTTCTTTAAATAGCATCATCTCAATCTTGTTTGAGTTCAGGACGTTCTTCATGCAAGTGGTGGTTTCAGGCAAGCATTTAGGAAGCTGGGAATAGAGCTATCTATTTGATATAAAAGAGAGACAGCAGATAACTGTCTGCATGTTTGTGACACTTCAGGTTGTGTTGTCTTACCAGATCTTCCAAATGGCTCTTTGGATTTTATCTTAGAGGAAAGAGAGATAAAGCATTTTAGGGACTTGTTTGATCCCTGTATCTTCTTTGAGATGTAACAGCAGGGAAGGGTGATAAACTGTATTAAATGTTGAAGACAGGTTGTAATAAGCATGGACATACTTCTTTAAAGACGGAGAGTGATTCAGCAGAGAGATGACTTTAAAGAGCAGTTTGAAAAGGGCCAGTAGACACTGGACAGCAATCTGTGAAGTCAAAAGCATACAGTAACTCTTTCCATAATATTGGATAGACTACTGAATGTTGCAAAAGGTGTGTGCTTAAACCCTAGCTGTAGTCTTGATACTATACTTCACAAGTGCCTACTTAGGAATATCTTTTCTGTCAAATACTAGAACCACAAGTGATAATCCACTTTGCTGCATTTTTAGATCTGAGCTTTCATAAACAATTTTTTCTTTTTTTTTCCTAATCTTAATGCTATTTAAATCGTCTGGATTTCCCTTGCTGCTTATTACCAAGTCAGTGTCAAAGATGGTTAATGCAATTTAACAGTAATTGCCCTCAACTGGAACCAGATCTCAGGCACAATACAAGACAGTTATTACACATACCATTCTCAAATTTGTCTCTCACACCAGAGCCATACTTTTGTTCTAATGAGGGTTAAAAGCTATCAGAGGACAACAGAAAAAAATAAAAAGACTTTGTCATTTTAGTAATGAATGAAATAGTGGTATGCCTCTTGTAGAAGCACTTATGCACATTTTTTAGTGGTTCCACCACACCTTACTTTGATGTCAACAGACAATATATATTGAACTAATGAATTTTAGATGGTGATTTAAGGCAGTATAATGTAGAATTAAAGCAATGTCTCCACCATGCATCTACTGCTTCTGTCAACTTCAGGTGTCGCTTGACTTATGGTGCATACCATAAGGAAATTGAATAGCAAGCTACATGATGTAAAACAACATATAAGAGTACTATGGCAAACATCATTACATTATAAACTGGTGTGCTATATTTGTGCATTTTAGTTACCTGAGATTGTGCTCTGTGCTGAGAGGGAGGGAAAGATGGAAGTGGAAGTTAGGTTCACAGTTCCACTAAAGTCAGTAGCAGAAATACCAATAGCTGCAGGGTTTCCTCCCAGGGCATAGTATGCTTTGCCACACAGAGAAAGAACTATTTTTGTCAGGCTCCTACATTTAAATTTGTCTCAGGAAAAGAGTATCTATTAAATCTTTCTGTACCTTAGAGAAACAAGTGGCAAACAGGTTTATTTGGCATCTAAGGTTAATTACCACGCCAGTAAAGAACATGGGAACCTAAGAACCACCAGACCAGATCAAAACAATGTATTTTCTGGCCTCATTTCTTATTCTAGTCTATTCAAAGGATCCTATGAAAAAGCTCACATATAAGCAAATACAATAAATACAGAAGTCTTCCAGGTAGGTTTTGTCCTTAACCTTCAACTAGTCATTGGCTTATGAAATTCTGTTTTTGGTGAAATTTTTCATTTCTCATTTCATTTTCCATTGAATTTAAGCATCACTTGAACTTCGTTAGAACAAAGAATGAAAACGTTCAACCTTAAGCCCATGGCTCTTGTTTCAGGGTTTGTTCTTTGACATGTTGCTGAAGAAGTATTAGATGTATATATTTCTTAGATCATTCGTGGAAAATAACAGTGTTGAGAAAGTGTTTGTCTATCAGCCTGTTCAATACATATGTGCAACACTTGCTGCTTCACCTTGTCAATGAGATTGGAACTGAATTTTTGTCTATTTGTATTAAATAACACGTACATCGTTCACAGTCTGGCAACTTGTCAAGGAAATGTCACTTATCAGATTATTCCTGTACTAACACTATGATTAAATTCCTAAACCAAAATCAGCATATGTATTAACAGTTTTTGCTTTATGACTATCTTAATGTTATGTGCATATAGGAAAAGTTCTGCATAAAAATAGCACTTACGGATTTGACTCAAGGTTAATTTAGCTTTCATCAGGCATAATCCTATTGGAAACACATTTCCTCATATAAATTTACATCTCTGCACATAACACAGTTTTGACAGTTTAATGAAAGTACCAGTGTTAAGAGTGAGGAGCACTTTTAGTGTGTCACATCAACACCTTTAAATTTCCTTTGAACTGGAGAAAATCTTGCACCACAGTAATGTCTAGCACTGAACTTTTCGGCCTAGACCATAGGTTATTACTTTGTGCAAAGACTTCTGGGTTTGTAATGAGAATTCATTTGCTCCCTACCTGTCAGCTAAAAGAGGAAAAATAATTACCTTTGATGTGTACATATTGGTCAATAAATCTGCTTCTAACGCTTTCATTTCCTCTTCTGAATCTGGGAATAAACCAGAAACATGTGTTTATTATTTCATCGTAAATCATGGGCATTTCAATTCAGCATACAGAATTTAGATATATCAATTAATTTTGAAAAACAAACAAACAAACAAAAACCAACCAACCAAACTTAGGTAAAAACACAGCAAAGTGATCTAGAGGGACTGTGAGGAGTCTTCAGGTAACAGCAACATTATGTTAAAATGGATACTCACTACCTTTTTAAAGCACGATCAAGCTTATTGAAGTGAATGAAACGATTCATTAATCTCAGTTCACTGGTAGACAGGCCCACTAATCTGCAGCCCCTTCAGTAAACAAAACTGCAGTAATACTCTTCATTCAAAATCAGTATGATTTTCATAATCACTATTTGTCACCTCTGCTTACTTTGGAAGAAGATTTTGGATATTTATTTTCAAAGAATATTTATTTAAGCAGCAGCTAAGTGTTTATATGAATGGAAGTTATGATTACTTGACAAGATTTAGTCTTGATTATTCTTGGTTAAATTAAGAATATTTTTACTAATATGAGGGAATTGAGCTTGACCAGTTTGTGATACAAGCTCTTGACAATGCATATACCAAAATAAAGTATTCTGACTGAAAGTCTTAGGATTTTCTTTACTAATTTAATTGGCCTTTGATAGCTCAGCAGACTTGCAAGACCTGTGATTTGGTGAATAGGGTAAAAATTGCTGTAGAAAAAAAGCCACAAAGTTTTCTGCTTTGTGCTGTACAGAATCACAAGGAAGATCTGGTGCCTTGAAAATGTAGCAGCAATCACAGCTCAAAGATGAGATATATACAGAAATCAGTTAAGTCTTCAGGCGAAACAGTGGGATTGAGTGCACCCTCAGCAAGTTTGCAGATGACACCAAGCTGAGTGGTGCGATTGACACTTCAGAGGGATGGGATGCCATCCAGAGGGACCTGGACAAGCTGGAGAAGTGGGCC